GAGCATCATGCCCTCCCCTAGCTGTGGGATATGACCATTATAAGGGTGATAGGAGCCATGCATCATCACCCAGGATGTGGGACGTGGGTGGGCCCACTCTCACAAGCAAGCAGCTGCTTGCGCTATTTAGGCAAGGTTGATAGGCTTGTGGGTGAGTTTGGATGTTTTCTGAGTGCTCAGGCGATCTTGCAAGCGAGCTTTGCTACAGGCGAGGTCAGCTGACGAACCCCTTAAGCATTTTGGCAAGCTTAATCCTGTCTGGCAAGCTCAATTCGTGCGGGCGAACCTCCTACAGGCGAGCTTGACTCATGCTGGCGAGACAATCAAACAAATGTGCTTGACTCATGCTGGCGAGCCAAACGAACAGGTGAGCTTAGCTCGTGTTGGCGAGCCAAACGAACAGGCAAGCTTGACTCGTGCTGGCGAATCAAACAAACAGGCGAGCTTGACTCGTGCTAGCGAGTCAAACAAACAGGGGAGCTTGACTCGTGCTGGTGAGTCAAACCATACTGGCGAACTTTGGCTCATGCAGGCGAGCTCTGCTTGGCTTCCCGAATGCAGGCAAGCTTGACTGGGGCAAGCAAGTCAAGATCGCAGGTGAGCTTTGCTTAGTCTTTTGAATGCAGGCGAGCTCAAACAGGCGAGGTTTGAGCTCTCTTGTGTAAAGGTAGTTTTTATTACCAACAGCATGATATCGAGATATTTGACGGCAACATCAGTTTTAGCCTTTGACAAGTTAGGATGATCGTCATATTAACACAGAGTGGATTGAAGAAGGCTTTGTTTGAGAAGTCGAAGAAGCCGGCTACTATGGCGGAGGAAGATTAGAACGATTTGGATGATAAAGCTCTCACAGCGATCCAGTTATGTTTAACAAATGACATTTTGCAAAAAGTTCTCACAGAGAAAACAGCTGCTGATTTGTGGTCTAAATTGAAGAATTTGTATTTTATAAAGTCGCTCACTAATCGCCTCCTCATGAAGTAGTGTTTGTACACACTTCAGATGTCGGAAGGAACACCCATCAAATCTCATAGTGATGAATTTAATTATGTGATTACAGATTTGGGTAAAATTGATGTTAAGATCAATGATGAAGATCAAACCTTGTTGTTATTGTGTTCTTTGTCGCCTTCCTACAAGCACTCCAGGGATAGTATATTTACGGTCGAGATTCTATTGGTATCAAGAACGTCAAAGAGAACTTATTGAATGAAGAGAAAATCAACAAAGAGTTACCACAAGTGAAAGTGTTGATAAAGTTGATGGTTTGTTTTTTTTGAGGAAGATCGAGAGACAGGGGCTTTAGAGGTAACAGGTATAAGTCAAAGCACAGGACTCTGACCTGCAGATATTGCAAGAAGAAAGGGCACATCAAGATCGATTGTTACAGATTGAAGAACAAAAATAAACAAGAAGAATGTGAAGAAAAATTAAAGGAGGACTCTGTTGAAGTTAATATTGCTGAAAATATCATTTTGTTGGTTACAGATGATATAAATAGGAGCATGGATGATTGAATTTTGGATTCGGATTGTTCCTATCATGTGTCCTAATCGGGACTGGCTCACCACTTATGAAGCTATTGATGGTGGAGTTGTTTTTATGGGGAGCAACGCCTCATGTAAGACTATTGGGAAAGGCACAATTTGGATTAAGATGCATGATGGAGTTATCAGGATTTTGACAGATGTTAGGCATGTTCCAGGTTTAAGGAAGAATCTCATCTCTTTGGGTACTCTTGATAGCATTAGGTGTAATTTTTCAGGTGAAGGTAGAGTTCTTAGGATTACAAAAGATTCTTTTGTGGTTATGAAAGGAATGAAGATCGGCAGCTTGTATGTTTTGTAGGGTTCTACCATTACTAGCTCGGCTACAGTTACATCGTCGATGTCAAGAGTTAATACTACCAGATTATGGCATATGAGATTTGATCATATGAGTGAGTGCAAATTGACAGAGTTGAGTAAGAAGGGTCTTTTATGTGGACAGAGTACAGGATAATTGTGATTCTGCGAGCATTGCATCTTTGGAAAGCAGAAAAGAGTCAGCTTCAGTGCAGTAGTGCATCAGACTAAAGGTACTTTGGATTATATCCATCCAAATCTTTGGGAACCTTCTCAAGTTGCCTCGAGGGGTGATAGTTTCAAATATTTATTGACCTTCATTGATGACTACTCCAGGAATGTTTGGGTCTACTTTTTGAGACATAAATATGAGGTGTTTGTGACTTTCAAGCAGTGATAGTCTTTGATTGAGAACGATACTGGAAGGCTGATTAAGAGGCTTAGAACTGATAATGGCATTGATTTTTTTGGAGGAGAATTTAATGAGTTCTATAATAAGAAGGGAATTGTTAGATATCATACAGTCCCTCGCACGCCGCAACAGAGTGGAGTGGCAGAACATATGAACATAACTTTATTAGAGAAAGGTTGTTGTATGATGTTCAATGCAGGTTTAGGCAATGAATACTAGGTGGAAGCAATAAATACGCCTTGTTACTTAGTGAATCGGTCGTCATCTACTGCTATTAGTTGTAAAACTCCAGAGGAGATTTGGTCCGGTAAACCGGCGGATTATTCTAATCTTAGAATATTTGGTTGCCCTACATATGCACATGTTAGTTAAGGGAAACTTGAGCCACGAGTGAAGAAGTGCATATCCCTAGGTTATGCATCAGGTGTTAAGGGTTTTAGGTTGTGATGTCTTGGTTCGAAGTCTCCTAAGATTATTATTATCTGTGATGTTACTTTTGATGAATCTGATATGTTCCACCAGAAACGGTCATCGGTTTTAGTTGTTGATAAGGCGTACACTACAGGAAATAATATGGAGTTAGAAATTCGTGATTTAGCTCTTTAGCAGGATAAGACTACGGGAGTTCAGCAGCCAGATCTCATTCAAGTAGATGAAGCACTTCAGTAGCTGCAGGAAGAGTGGAAATACACTATTGCTAGAGATCGGTCTAGACGAGATATCCGACCACAGCGAAGATATGAAGATACGGTAGCTTATGCATTGTCAGTTGACAGTTTTGTACCCTTTAGCTATTCAAGAGCTACTTCAGGTGATGACTTTACTAATATTTACGGTCATCGTACGGAAAATTCAATCGATTTGTTGAGAAGACCTCTTTCAGTTAGCAAGTTCAAGCCGGGCTTGGACTTGATCGATACATGCCGCACTTAGATGCCCTGCAGGGCTATTGGAGAAGGTGGAGTAAGTTAGCTTATTTTAGAGTGAGGAATCTTCTACACATTTGAGTGAATGTGGCGATTTGTTATAGGTTGCCTCAAATACTCAAATCCATATTGCTTTGGGAGTTTCTTTTTAGCTTCGTTTGTTTTGATCAATAGTCCTACTTACATTAGACTTTGCACAACCAATCATATTTGAGGTTTATTCCTACTTAGACTCTTGTTGGATTTTAGGACATGTGGACTTCTATTCGACTATTCCTATTAGAACTTTTATTCCTTAAACAGCAATGAGTTACGATCTTCAATGCTATATAAGAACAGTCTTTCAAGCCAATTAGAATCATCAATCTTCAGAGCACCAATTAAGAAGAGAGATTTTTTTGTGAAGCCTATTTGATATTCTTCTCTCTTATTTCTTTAGTTGAGAGTTGTATTAGGCTTTTGGGGTGTTATTTAGGATTAAGAGATTCAACTTTGTATTCCTTACAATTAGTAAAGTTTTTCTCCTCCTTCGCCCGTGGACGTAGGCTACAAGCCGAACCACGTATATATTTGTGTTCGTGTGTTCTTGATATTTTCCGTGCTCTCGTGTGGTTGATATTAGCTTATCCTAGGGAATTTGTCATAACAGGATGCACATTGGTTTTGCAATTCTTTGTTCCTGCGGCTTTCTTTTCAAGGTTTATAATTTTGACACTGCGTTATGATTTTGCTTGGAAGCTTGCATAAGGAATCTCATCTCGGACCGTCTGCCCACTCCGTCTACTCGTTTAGTGACTCCCAGAAGAGTTCTTGGATGTTCTGCTGATTTCAAGCTTCACCACATTGTTAACTCATTTACATGGTCGGAGCGAGGAGCTCGTTCCGACGCAAGTAATGGAAGTAAACCTGAGGAAGCTTCTAAGGCTAACATTGCTGATGACACTAGAACACCGTTCCCAAATTTCCTCTTGGAATATAAATATCAATACTGCCAGATGCTTGATGTCTTTTGAAAAATACAATGTTAATATTTTCACCTGATTGAGTAGATGAACGTTTTATTTTTTTTGGCCGTACAAAACAGGTAGATACTACTCAAGTACTATAACTAAGTTCAAATTGTTCAGAGATGAACATGTGTTTGTTAATAACAAATTATAATACTCATGCTTCCTAATTTTCGCTGTTATAAAAAAATATGTATTACATTTCTTATCAAGATTGTCGAGTGTCATGTTTTTGCATAATGTCAGAATTCTTTTCAAGTTCATAATCATTTGGTTAAAATATCTCAAAGAAATTTCCTTACCAATTATTTAACCAGAGTTTGTGTCTTTCGCTTTCTTACGCGGGGGGTATTTTCTAGTAGATGAGAGAGATATAGATCTACATTCTTCCCCCCACTTTACGTCGGGGTATTTTCAGGGTATTTTCTATGCTATTTAAGTAGATTTTGCATAAAATTTCACAGTGATTTTCTTCCTTACAATTCTTAAGTACTTGCAGCACTTTTCACTCCAGGAGATAGTCTTCTTTGGCGATCTCTCACACAAGGTAATACTGATAGTGAGAAGGTTTTACGTTAAGGCTCTGTTTGGTTTGATAGAAAGGGAGAGAAAGGAAAGTAAAATAGAAGAGAAAGTGCGTTTCTACTGTTTGGTTTGAAAGAAAACAAAAAAGAAAAAGGAAATAATTTTCACTGCTGAAAAACCGGCACTCATTTTTTCTTTTCCCCTTTCTCTCCACTGCCCAGGTGAAAATGAGGGAGAGCGACGGAATCGCTCGCTCGTCGCCTCCTAACAACTTTAACTTTGCCTAAACCCTAGTTCGACGTCGACCAAACTCTCGACACCGATCTCAGATTGCGTCGCTCTCGCTCAAACCTAGCTAGCGATGGCGACGACAGCAGCGACGGCGACGTCGATGATTGGAGCGACGAAGGATCCGAAGGTCTAGATCCTCGGGTACGAATTCCGAGGGCTGGGATCGGCCGGATCGATCCCGATCGGGAGATCGGCTAGGGTTTCGCCGGTGCCCTCTTCGTCCTCGAGCGCCATCACCGTTGTTGCCACCGTAAGGTTTTTGATAACTTTGCTTAATTTGGTAATTTTTGTTGTTACTTTATTGAGCGGGCGATTTCATGAATGCGAGCACACAAATTAGTATTCCAATGGAATTTCATAAAGAAGGGGGACTGAGCTTATAGTTTATTCAAAGTCCAGTCAGATTTGCACTTGTTTTAACCCATTGGAATTTGATGAAGAAGGGGGAGGGAGGTTAACAGGTAGTTGCTTGGTTCTATGAAAACTCTCAGAAATTAATTTTATTCAAGTAAAGGGTACGGATTTTTTAGTTTTGGACTGAATACTAACTCTCATTTTGTAAATTTCAATTCGACACTTATCTATTAGTTGGAGGATTACACCAAAATACGTTTCCTCTCAGAAAAGTGAGGGGGGGGGCTATTTTGCCTCTGTTTTGCTGGAAAAAGCACTATTTTGCCTTGTATATGTCAATTTCATTTTGTTGGTTTTTAAATAAATCTTATGTCTTGTCTTGCAATGGAATTCATATAACTATTTAACTTCATGGTCATGTTTAAAGATTCTTTGTCAATCATCTGCTCTTGCAATGGAATTCATATAACTATTTAACTTCATGGTCATGTTTAAAGATTCTTTGTCAATCATCTGCAAAAATATGGCTCTTATTTACTTCATGGTCATGTTTAAAGATTCTTTGTCAATCATCTGCAAAAATATGGCTCTTATTCTTTAATCCAGCAAATAAATATTGCTCTTGTGTCAGTGCTTCTTTGAGTTCTTTCCTTGCTTGAATCTAAAATTTGGAGATTTTGTACTTTGATAATGATATTGGCTTCATGACCAGAACTTTGACCTCAAAGCTTATTGAATATTAGCAAACAATGTGTTCAATCCTCTTATTTAATCCTCAATATTTCAACTAATATTTAGCAGCAGGCTTACAGCTTGAGGAAAGGAAAAGGAAATCCTTATGACTTTGTGTAGAATGTTTGGAAATTTCTATACTATTTAAGTAAATAGTTATTGTAGTAATATGTCCATGTGAGCAACACTGACGAGGAGGAAAAAAATCTGTTTATCTTTCCCCATTGTGAATATGATTCCTTAGATAGTTCTTAAAATAGGTTCTTAAAAGAGGCTATGAAAAGGGATTTAAAATTATGGTTTCATCTGATTATATGTTCTTAGTTATTCATCTTTCAATGAATGTATGTGTGCATGGTGTGTTGTTGTTGATGATGATGATGTTTTTAAATGAGGATTGATAGAAATAAATTGGGGGTTTATAAAGAAATTGGGATATATCTGTTTACTTGCCCAGTTGTGCTTATCGTGCATTTGAAGTGGCACTGATGTGCATTGATTCTTGTTATCTCAGTGATTTTTATGTGATTCTTGTTCATCTTGGATATTCCATGTTTGCTTTAATTTTTTCCATTTGAATTTGTATTTTTGCATATGTAAATTCTGTTGGTTCTTGATTGCATTTCACAATTAGTCTTTTGTTTGAATATTTATGCTTGTATCTTTAGAAACTAGAGAGGTGCAAAATGGATGGAGGAAGGATCTTCGCAGAAGTTTGAGAAAAATGTGCAGGAGAATTAGAATGTACCGCATGTATGAAACCATGTATAGTCTGTGCATGTTGATACAACACAGACTTAAATGGTCATTGGTTCATATTCATCTGTTGGTTGGATTTATTTATTTTACTAGTGTCAACTTTGAATCTAGACTTAAATGGTACATTTACAGTTTGGTTCAAAATGGTGCTCACCAATACTTTCAGTCTAGAATTGAGTTCGGCTTCTAATATGATAATATAAATGTAGGAAAATTGTGGGGACTTAAAATTTTGTTGTTAAGTTATAATTACATTTGAATTTTGTAGGAAAATATTTCAGGTGACCTGATCTTCCGCTTAATTATGTTGAACTAATCATCATTGTGTTAAACATGACAAACTTTCCGCATAATGTTCTTTCTGAATTTTTGGTTATTGTGGTGTTCGATTTAAAAGATGGCTATTTTAATTAGCAAGTATATAGATTTGGGTTGTAAATTTGCAAATATGTTGGTTTTGGGGTATCTATGTAAAAATCCTATATCCATATCAGTATATCACTTTAATAGGGATGAACCAAAGTTCTCTGGGTGTTGATGTTAATGTGGGTAAGTCTTGAAGGATGGCTATTTTAATTGTGGGCTTGGTGTTTTCTCTGGGTGTTGATGTTAATGTGGGTAAGTCTTGAAGGATGGCTATTTTAATTGTGGGCTTGGTGTTTTTTGTTTTATTATAAGAAGTATTATATGTCAAAACATAATTTTATGTAAATGAGATGGCTGATGGAATTGCTTTTTTGGTGTCCATTGTACAGCTTATGATGAGGGTGCCGATGATTTGAATAGAGGATCTTCTCATCAACCTTTGACTCAGGTGAATCTCTCTTTTTCAGCATTCAATGTCATGCTTGCTTTCTAGCTATCTTGTCAAAGTTATTTCATGGACGTCAAAGTTATTTCATGGACATCTTGAAGGATGGCTATTTCATGGATGTTCTGTTGGCCTCAGTGTAATTTGTTTTTGAATAGATAGTATATATTTTTTCCCCTTTTCTTACATTCGATCATCATTTTGATAAACTTCATGCTGTGTGTAAATCATTAGCTGTGATTCATCTTTTGTAAGGTACTGGAAACATGTTACTGTTAAATTGTTGAAAATGGTACCATGATCCATCTTTCTAAAAACATCCACGAATTGATACAACATGCAACAGGACCTCCACGCACACAATGTACACGAACTGAAAATCTCACTATGTTTTATGCACAAACTGAATATCTCACTATATTATTGAAGAAGTGGCTTACCTTAAATTCACAAGCATAGGTATGCATATCAATGTATAGTGAAGAAGTGGCTTACCTTAAATTCAGTATTCACATGCCTTCCCTGGACCTTCCATATATTATCCTCTTCAAAAAGTAGTTTCAGCGATGAATTAAGTTTCTCACACACCAAAGAATCAAGTTCAGTTTGTTTAAATTGCTGCAGATGTTGGTGTTTTATGTTGTTTTGTTTCTCATGCTTGAGAATTTAAGTTTGTACGCTACTTACCTATCATATATCCATCTTGTTGTAGTGTATTTTCAGATAATGATATATTGCCTTTCTTGCTTGGTAGATTTTTCAGCAGTTATTGTATATACAAACTTACCAAAAGAATGTTAAGACTTCATTTTTTAGGTTTTTGATGTTTAAATTTTACTTATTTGAATTTTTTGAATTAATTTCAGGGGATGAAGGATGCGAGATTGATGTTTTGATGGGCTCACTAAAGTTGAAAACCAAGGACTTCGGCATATTTTCCTCTCTCTTTGGTTAAGATTCTCTATATAAAATTGATTGTCATAGACTTTGTTGGTTAAGATATTCTATATGAAATTAATTGTAATGGACTTTGTTGGTTAAGATTTTCTATATGAAATTGATTGTAATAGACTTTGTGACTAGAAATGGATTATACTTTACATGAGGTTATGAATAACTTGCAAGTCCAAGACCATGTAAGATTATACGCAAATTAGAGTCATTGTAAATTTGACTAAATTTTCTTGAGTTAAGATTGTACAAACATGTTCGGTAACTTGTAATTTTTTTGAAAATATGATAGAATCACAATTTAATTTAATTATTTTTTTTACAAATTATTTAAAATCTAAATCTAATTCCAAAAAGTATGAATTAAAATTATGTTGTGATAATTTTCTTTCTCTTTTTCTCATAAAGGTAACCAAACAAGAGAAAACGACTTTCTTATGAAATTTCTTCTAATTTTCCTTACAATATTATTTCTAACCAAACAATAGAAAGAATATCATTTTCTTTTCCTTTTCTTTTCCTTTCTTTTTACTTTCTTTTTCCTTTTCTTTTCTCTCCCTTTCTCTCAAACCAAACACGACCTAAGGGATGATAAGAAGTCGTCTACAAATGAAGATGATAAGAAGTTGCCTACAAATCAAATTTCGCGTGTGACTTATTAATGCAGTAACACTGGTTGTCAATGCAATGTCCTTCGGTGTAGTTTGCCCTGATGCAAGCCTCGTTGCAGTAGCGAAACATTTGGCAAGTACCCAAGTTGTAAGATCCTTCCCCATCGCTCACACCACGGCCTCCACCCGTAACTACGACGAAGAGAGAACATAATTACTTTATCATCAGAGTAGAACTCTGTAAGGTTTCACGCAGCATACCTACCTGCTGTTGAAATTAACAAAGCCAACAGTGTGATGGTAACTGGGAGCTTGAGAAGGGAAGCAGAACGCTTGGCGACCATTTCTTGCTAAACTTCCCCTGCAGTACTTGGCCATGAGAGTATCCCGGGCATTTATAGGGTTAAATTAAGAGATGCAAATTAGTTAGGATCGCATGTCATGTTGCTTAGGTTTGAGTGCACTCAATGCCCTCCTCTGAGATCATTCATCACGCATTTTTGTCAAGCGTCATACAATCTGCATTCCGCGCAGGTTCGCATCTATTAGAATAGCCTTAATAGGATAATATTAGTAACACTGCAATAGTCCTCCGATAATAAAACAAATATCACCCACGAGCACATTATGATCCGCTCCTTACTCCATCACACTATCGAAACCAAATATAATCTAGTTGATATGCAGAGAAACAGATGCATTTACATGTACACGGTACACTACACTGATCTTCCTCCATATTTGCGTTCACTGCTCTGTTTCCTTCTGGTTAACATAAGCAAAATTCTTGAAAGGATGGAGAAATCATAATCGTATTAATCAAAAGCCCGGATGGCTCAGCTAAACATTAGCACAGTTCACAAATTCTTTCAACAAGACCAATATAAAACAGCCACGATACATGCAAAATGAATGAACAAGGAAACTGACAGTAGAAGAAAAATAATCCAAGTATATCCACTAGTAGCACTATGCACTAATAGTCTTAATACTCCCTATCCAATTTGTCTTGGTTGAACTCAGACGGTGTAGGATTGTTGAATTGTTTCAATGTCCAAACCTTTGAGCCTTACAACAGACTCCACATGACCCTTCAGCGTGTGAAGCTCCCTGAGCCTGCACATATAGAAGAGTACAAATTAAGGCAAAAACATCCCCCAACTCAAGTTTGCTTCAGAAACTGCAAACTGCTGGAATCCCAGAGCACAAACCACAAAAGACAACGATCATAGTTTATGTTCAGGAGTGTCACATTCATGCAGTTCACGTGTGGGTTTGGTTAGGAAAGGGATATGAGATGAGAGATTTAACTCTACAATGGAAATACAAGGGTTAAATGTGGATAGACCCCTTGTACTTCTATTCTTGCAGGTAGACCCCCTGAGTGAATTTTTGACTCCCCTGAGTGAATTTTTGACTCTTTTACTCTCAGAAGAGAAAATTGTTTACTGACATATAGACCTCCTGAGGGTAAAAGAGTAAAAAAAATCGCACTCAGGGTGTCTCTCCACAATTGGACAATAGTACAGAGGGTCTATCCGCAATGACAACTCCAGGGGATCTATCCACAATTAGGCGATAGCACATCGTTTTATCCGCAATTAACCACAAAACAATAAGATCGCTAAATGGGTTGAATATGCTTGGACTGTTGACGCAAATAGGGTTAACCCTTCTAATTCAATTCGGGTCCAAGCAGATCAGTCGGTTACTCCTATCCATCTATATTGTGGGCCTTTCCAACTCAACAACTTAACATCTAAAGTTCTGAGGTCTCACCTTGCAATCTCAGCACGTCTTTTGGCCTCTTCAGCCATCTGATTGAGATCAGTGAAATTAGTCCTGTCACTGAACATCTTGGAGTCTGGTGCTTGAAGCCCATGAAGGGTTCTCTGTGCATGTGCCCACTTGAGTTCCCTTGCTTCCTTCCCGAAATCCTTCTGCCTTGTAAATGCAATCTGAGCCATTAAGAAAAAAAAATGAATATTACTTGCATGAACCAAAAAATGTCAACATACAAAATAGCTGATGAATCAATGGTATATATTACTCTTTGTTCGATGACAAGGTCCCATGCCCTTCCACTAAGAGCATATCGGGTTAAGAATTTGATGATATCGAGTGGGAAGTAGAAGATGAGATTGTAAAGCCAAACAACCCCAGCCCAGCCCCATCCAATTCCTTTGATGGCAGCAAACCCCCAATCAGCATAGACAGCTATTAATGTAGCAACCTACACAAATTTCACCACAAATTTAAGTTTTTCAAAAGAAGTTGCGGTATTTTTCATTGTCATAGGGAAAAGTAGATAACTTACAAGTTGAGCAATGAAGAAAGCTGCTACAAGCAAGAGACCGGGCCGTTCGATAAAAGACCAGCTACGAGATCTTGTCACAAAGATAAGAGCCTGACTAATGGTGCTTACTTGTAGATAAACAGCGGAGGCAAGCTTCTGAAAGTCGTCTTGAGCAGTTTTCTCCAAGCTTTCCACACCAAACACTCGCTGATGGCAAGATTCAAGAATCAAATAACATTAAGTGTCAGCAATACTTTATAGCTAATGCAAACCAAGTGGATGCTAAATTTATATGCACAGAAAAATCAACCATAGCAGTAGCAGAAATAGTCCATTAGGTTACAAATGAATAACTGGCTTGACATGATTTGCTTCACAAGGAAGAAGTATATACCGGGAAGAAGTTAGTTTTATATGCAACCCAGAAGAAAATAACTGTCATCACTGCCAAATAACCACCAAGAATGACCCCAGTTGCAAAAATTTCTGAAAGCTTCCAGCTGTCAGGTAACGGAGATGGCTTCACCCTATCCTTTGATATCGTCATGATAGTACCTAATATTGCAAAACGAGAAAAGAGAATTCAATGTAGAGCAAGGTATGCAGAAAAAGTTAAAAAAAACCAAAAGTTCAGACAACCCTGACTGACAATTAAAAATATATATGAGTAATGTAATAACGAAAATACTAGATAAATTTACCATCATTGAGGATGGCGATAATTAGGACCATGAAGGGTGGAAAGTCAAACTTCCATATGAGTGCAAGAAGCATGAACCCAAGCTGTGGAATTGAAACATATATTGTAAGAAGAATGAAATTGAAACTAACCTGATGCCAGCAATCTTTCAATAGAAAAACAATTTTGAAAATGCTTGTCAACGTCTCGGTAGTTCCATAAAGTTAGATAACAACTACCAACTTGCATGAAAGTTGATCGGAAATGACTATGATTTACTTAAAAAGGGTGTCATACTTCAGAGACCAATAAGGCACTTGACGAGTGTCAGCATATAGCTTATCAGGAAGTTGTTCAATTATTTAAGACCAAGTTAGGAAACAGGGACATACCACTATACGGATGGTAATGGAAACTGCATAGATCTGCACAAACATGGAATCACCTTAGCAAAATTAAATAAGATGTGAACATTTATTATAAAGATAATAGTTACCGTATAATTTTTCATCCTCTGGAAAATTGCACGACTGGTCAGGACAGCACTTATTATGACACTTAGACCCGGTTCTGTGAGAACAATATCAGAAGCACTTCGAGCAGCATCTGTAGCATCTGCGACTGCTATTCCAATATCCGCCTTCTTGAGAGCAGGAGCATCATTAACACCATCACCAGTCATACCACAAATATGCTTCCTCGCTTGCAACCTTTTCACAATCTCATACTTGTGCTCTAAAAGATTATACAAAAAGGATTATCAAAGATTGTTAAAACAAGAGCAAAGCTACTAGCATGTGTTACTGAAAAAACAGGTAAGTAGGCGCTATACCAGGAAATACACCAGCAAAACCATCAGCCTTCTCTATTAATTCATCAATAGGCAAAGCAGCAATAGATTCATCCTTAGTTTGGCCCAACAAAGCTGATGAAGGATACATGTTTGTGCCCATTCCCAAACGACGTCCTGTTTCCTTTCCTATTGCTAGTTGATCGCCTGATGACAAGCAAACAAATATGCGGCTGTCAAGTCAAACTTTGAAGAATGCGAAGAGAACGCTGAATCCAACTTTCAAGAATTAGTTTGAACGCAATGAGTCTCTTAACATGTACCTTTAAGTATCTATAAAATATTAGATAATAGAAAGATTAAAAGGTTAAAAAAACCGTGAAAAAACTCCTACAACTCAATACCTGCGATGTTATCAACATAAAATCAGGAAACTGAGAAGTTTCCATACCCGAAAGACAAGATATAACATCTCACATGGCAAGCAAACCTTTCAAAGTTCATGAAGTGGATAGCCTTTAACATGATAGAACGGGATAATCATAGCAGGGGAAGATTATCCCATCGAAGGAGTTTGCCTTTTCTATTATCACAACAAGAATTTCAATAATATCTTCTGTTATGAATGCAATTGACTCCAGCCCACTGTAAGATTGTTGTTTTAGCAAAGTCAAACTTTCTTTTATGCATTTGCTTGAAAAGTAAATTGCAATAATTGATATGTTTGGCTTTTTTCAGATTCTTCAGAAGTCCTTTGGAAATGCAGGATTATTCAGCTTTAAAAACTTTAAGAACTCACCCTAGTAGGCTCCAAGGCCACATATAAAGCATCAGTAAATTATATTATAGAAACCATTCTTTAAAATGTGAGATCCTACATGGTATCACCTAGGAAGAATTTCCCTTTCACAGTTCTACGAATAAATAAAGAAAATTAAGAAATCAGCAACATATTTGTGGTCTATTTTTCTTCGAGTATCTTCTGCTACCATCAGGGCTTGCACTGGATGGTTCAAATCAAGACATGTTGCTGGCTTGCCCAGCTCACAGTGCAATGATAGCAATAAAGTTAGAAATCAAGCCTTAAGCCACTCATAAAAGAGCGGGTCCAATTCTAAGGTCCCTAATGGCAGCGAAATGCCAACGATAAAGTCAGAGCACAAGGCAGCTCTTTTTCCTCAAGAGCCCCTAACTAGTTCACTTGGCACTAATCAACTATCAAAAGAAAACTAACCTTAACCACCATTAATCTATAACTACAGTAGTCACAAAATTTCCCCTAGTTCACATTTAATATGTGGAATCCTCTTGGATACATAAAATCCCAGTGAATAACCATATTTAAGGTCAAGTCACCATGTCAGATATGCTGATGTCAAGCGGCTTTCCCAGAAGGACCCATCCTGAAAGTGTTCTAGGCCAAGTATGATTAGCTACAAAGTCTTTTCCAGATTCCCCTATTAAGAATGCTAGATTTCTTAGCTAATGATAACTATCATACATCATAGAACTTAGTCTCATCCAATGAAGAATTATTCTCATTTCCTCAGTTACATACCCTATGCATTTTGGTTACAGCATCATCACCATTACTAACATCTCACCAGCTGATATCGAATTTTGAATGCAGCCACTAGAAATTTTAAGGATGAACCCCATGGATTCAAGAGGTACTCATTACATCCCTAAGTGACATGATATCTTGCTCTATTATTCACATTTATTTGCTCTAATACCCAAATAGTGGCACATGGATTTGATGTGAATTAGAGTTAGGGTAGTAGACGTTTGCAGGGATCAAGTAAAAAAGAAAAAAAAAGATAGCTCAAAGGCTTCAAAAGCACAAATGGCTTCCCACAAGAAAATACTTCACACATTAGGATCAGGGTCATAGACAAACAATTCACATGCAGTCATCTTCAAAAATTATCAGATTATTCAGTTTATTAGGAGGAAAACAAAATGATGTAGATGTATAAGTAAAGGAACCCTAACTGAAATAAAACTAGAATTTCTAGTGTCAACTAAACTAAAAGTCAATAAACAAGAAAAAGATAGCTGAAAGGCTTCAAAAGCACAAATGGCTTCCCACAAGAAAATACTTCACACATTAGGATCAGGGTCATAGACAAACAATTCACATGCACAGTCAGTCTTCAAAAATTATCAGATTATTCAGTTTATTAGGAGGTGTTAAGAGTGAGAAAATCAAAGAGTCTACCATTTCATTCATCTCCATGGGTATATATAGGGTTACATATGGGTAATAGGCTAATGGGTTAATAGGCCCTAACCCGATAACCCAAGAACTAATTCTAACACTCCACCTCAAACTGGAGCATATATATCAATCATACCCAGCTTGTTACATAGAATGGAAAACACATTAGGTGAAGTAGCTTTAGTGAGAATGTCAGCTAACTGTTCCGAAGACGAAGTGAACTGAAGAGATATCACTTTCTTTTCTCAAGCATCTCTGACAAAATTACAATCAACTTCAATATGCTTAGTTCTCTCATGAAACACTGGATTCTTTGCAATGTGGATAGCAGATTGATTATCACAATGCATAGGCATAGATCCAGGCTGCGAAAAGCCAAGCTCGGTCAGCAGCTTTTGTAGCCATATCATCTCACAAACAGTGTGAGCCATAGCCCTATATTCTGCTTCTGCACTAGATCGAGATACTACATCTTGTTTCTTGCTCCTCCAAGTAACCAGATTTCCTCCAATAAATGTACAAAATCTAGAAGTAGACTTTTTATCTCCTATATCTCCTGCATACCCCAGCATCAGAATAGGCAGAGATGTGTAAATGTTCATGTTTCTTATACAGTAATCCTTTTCCCGGACAGCTCTTAACATAAGCCAAAATTCTCAAAGCAGCAGTCCAGTGAACCTCTCTAGGTATATGCATAAACCTGCTCAATACTCCCACTATAAAGGTAATATCAGGTCTGGTCACAGTAAGATAGATCAACTTGCCAATCAATCTCCTATATCGGCCTGCATCATCTAGAAGAAGACTATTATCACGCCACAAGTCCACATTCACTTCCATGGGAGTGTTTGCTGACTTACACCCCAAAAGGCCCATTTCTTCAAATAGGTCCAATACATATTTCCTTTGAGATAGAAGTAAACGGTCCTTTTGATATGCAATCTCAATCCCAAGAAAGTATTTGGGTTTTCCCATATCTTTAGTCACAAAGTGACGTGAAAGGTATTCCTTAGTCTCTGCTATGACAACAAGGTCAGTCCCAGTTAGCAGGATGTCATCAACATATACTGTCAGAACACCAGACCAGATGTAGTGCGCCGGATAAAGACGGAGTGATCAGACTGACATCGTTTGAACCCGACACCAGATATAGCAGTACTAAATTTCTCAAACCATGCCCGTGGACTCTGTTTGAGACCATAAATTGCCTTTTTAAGCTTGCAGACAGTATTCTCCCTCTGAGCAACATACCCTGGAGGTTTATCCATATAGACTTCCTCCTGCAAGTCACCATACAGAAAGGCATTTAGCTTAAACATTGTCCAGTCCAGATTAACAGCCATAGAGAAAAGTAGGCGAATAGAATTGAGACGGGCTACGGGAGAGAACGTCTCAAGATAATCGACCACATAGGTTTGAGTATATCCCTTGGTGCGATACTTTAAGGTATAAACCCACCGACAGCCAACTACGGTAGCGCCCGTTGGAGAAGATACAAGATTCCAAGTCCCTCTAGAAATAAGTGCATCCATCTCCTCATCCATAGCATATTTCCAAGCAGGATCCAATACAACCTCCTCATATGACCTGGGTAGAGACATAGAGGACAAGGACAAAGCAAACTGACAAGAAAAGGGAGTAAGACGGTTATATGAAACAAAATCAGATATAAGATGATTAGTACAAGACCGTTTACCTTTTGGATGAGCAATTAGAATATCTAGATCAGAAGGAGTAGAAAGAGACGGACCTGCAACGGGAGATGACTGTTCTGCTGGAGCAGAGAGAGGGACAGGAACTTTTGAATGACGACAATACGTTAGTAGTGGTGGTGGTGCAGATGGCATAGTGGAAGTATTTTGTAGTCCTGGAGAGGATCCATCGGCAGAAGGAACGGAAGCAGGTAGTGGAATAGCAGTAGGAGCAATAGACGGAAGAGGCACGGATGGACTGACAGTTGGGGGTGAACCAGTCAAGGAGAAGTATGAAACCGACTCAAAAAAGGTTACATCTGCAGACACAAAATATGTCCTGGTGGATGGATTATAACACCGATAACTTTTTTAAGTACGCGAGTAGCCTACAAAAACACACTTAATAGACCGTGAAGACAGTTTATCCAGTCCGGAAGATAAATCCTGAACAAAGCAAGTACACCCAAAAACTCGAGGAATCACGGGAAAAAGCCTTTTGTCAGGATAAAGACAGGTGAATGGTATTTTACCATTAAGAACAGGACAGGGCATCCTATTGATCAGGAAACATGCACTGAGAACAGCATCAGATCACAAATACTTTGGTACATTCATATGTACCATCATGGTTCTAGCAACGTCTAAAATGTGTCTATGCTTCCTCTCAGCAACTCCATTCTGTTGTGAAGTATGAGAACATGAAGTTTGGTGGATAATGCCAATAATTACACAAAAACGAGAGAGGTCATGTTTCATGTATTCCAAAGCATTATCGGTTACGAAGGATGCGAATAGAGGTGGAAAATTAGTTTTTGATTTCTTTGTAAAACATTTCGAAAACGGTGGAAACCTCAGATCTCTCTTTTAAAAGATAAAGCCAAGTCATGCGAGAGAAGTCATCAATAAAAACAAGAAAATATCTCTAACCGTTCACAGAAGGTACACGACATGGACCCCAAACATCATAATGGACTAACTCGAATGCAAAGCTGCTGCGTTTATCAATACGACTAGGATATATAGCATGATGGTGCTTACCTAGTTCATAAGACTCACAACCTAAAGAAGAAATAAAAGACTGGATAGAAATGACAGATCTAAGCTTTGATAACGAGGGATGACCAAGTCGTTGATGCCATAATAAAGTATTATCAGATTTATCTGCAATAAGACCAATAGCAGGCATATTATTGTCCAAATAGTACATGCCTTCTCTCTCATGCCCCGAATCAATCTTCATCCCAGTTACTAGGTCCTGAAAAACACAATAAGAGGGAAAGAATGTTACTTTT